CTATCCTAACGGGTTTGCTCCTTAACGTCGGATGTGCCAATATTAATATAGTCTTGCAGCGTTCGTGGAACATTATCATCATTATCCAGTGTCAGATCTGCGACAGACATCGGCGATCATGAGTTTCCATTCATTCCTTTGCTCGGATGCTCTCAGAACATTATACTACAGTAATATCACAGCATACCTTTGAGCAAGACAACAGTTCTTATTTGTTTTGAAATCAACACGGGGGGCTGTCGTGGCCCAGAGGTTTTGGTGTTCGCCTCTCATTCAAAGGTCCCGGGTTCGAATCTTTCTTCCCCCACCCCCTCACCTCCTTTGCCCCCTCCTCTGGGCTCCCGTCTCTTTCTGCAGCCTTTCTTCTGCTTCTCCTTGGCTCCCTCTTACTGCTGTCTTTCAGCCACACCCCTGATCTTCAGGTAGGAAAGATCTGCAACTTGCCTTCTCGGAAAAGCGCGAAAAATCTCGGAGGTCCCGTTTTCAAGTAGCGTACGTTAAAGAATCCTTGGTGGCCCAAAATCGATAACAGTAGGCTTCGGCCGCCACCCGTGCAAAATTCAAAATTTCCTACCAACTGCAAATGTTTGGTGTGTTCCGCGCACTCATATGGCCTTATGCAGTTGTGAGCGCCGTGAAATACTTACCAGAGAAGTAAACACCTTTTTTTTAAAACGCAGTCTCTGTCACGCTCTGTTCAAGGAAAGTAGCACTTGTCGGTTCAATATTAAATTCCTCACGAAGTCAATTTAGCAGACGTCTGTCGAGTAGCGTTAAGTTGATTCGCTGCCGCAAGCAGAAGACTCGAGTTCGATTCCTGATTCAGGAGAAATTTTTATGGAGTATTTCGGTCTTTCTGTTGGGATGTTGTATCCTTCTCAGCTCGGGTACACCCTGAAAGGCAGGGTCGGAAGCCTGCCTCCGAAATGAATAAATGAGCTGAATGGTGTTGGATTTTCTTGTCGAGGAAGGGGGGGAGGGGGTAAACAATACTTTAAAAAAGTAAATTCAATCTTTCGTGTTTTCCTGAAGCAATATTCTTTTCAAGCCCGCTCCTTGGAGCTGGACTGTGTCCCTTTATTGAAATAAACTATTCTACCTCTGTCACTGAATTCAACTTTATATAATTTTGAAATTTTCAGTATTCGCGCGCGCGCTGTGTACGTGTGTGTGTGTATGTGTGTGTGTGTGTGTGTGTGTGT